TGCCTCCCCCTTCTTGTTACAACCCTACCATCTCCGCGGAAATCGTTATTGACGAAGCGCGCGCAAGCACAGGAGCTCACAAAACGGAACAAAAAAACAAAACACACGCACACACATACACACAGTTGATGAGTAAGAGAGGAGTCAAAGTGCTCTTATTTTTCCCTTTGCTTATCCATCTACTTCCCCTCTAGATTCATAAAGTAATTTGTTTGCTTTCGGTTTCTCTCTCCTTTTTTTCTCTTCCAGCGTATTCCTTCCCCATAGCTTTGTCCTTCAAACTGAGTGAAAATGCAACTCGCGTTGGGCGACAGCAGCTGAAACACATCCCAGAGACAAGCTAGGGAGCAGAAAAAAAAATAATAATAATAAACAACCATGCTCGAGTACACATGCGGATATGCGCATCCCCAAATCGCCTCACCCTCTGCTTCATTTTTTTTTGTTTCCTTGCCCCCCCTTCCCCCTTTTTTTTTCTGACTTCAGCTCTGTCATTTGTTACCGCTTGTTGTTCGTGTGAGTTCCCTATCGACGCTGAGTTTGTTGTTGCTGCTGCTGAGGCGGTGAAAAGAGCAGCTGCGCGTTGGGGGGATACCCGGTGGTGCCAACCGCATATTGCGTTGTTCCATCTGGAGAACGGTAGACCATCATTGGTTGCTGTCCCTGACCAGGCAGAAACCCAGTCACATAGTGGCCATGCATAGCTTGTTGGGGAAAGTAGGGCGCACCTTGCGCACCGCTTATAATAAAGGGCACCGGTTGCGTCATGCCTGGATGACGATGCTGCGGTTGAGATTGCGGTTGCTGCTGCATAAGTTTCTGATGCATTGGCTGCGGTGGCACCTTTGTCATAGCTGCTCCCCAAGGAGCCGTAACAGACTGCTGCTGCTGCTGCTGCTGTGGTGGTAATTGCTGTGGGGGTTGCGTTACAGAAATCGGTGGGGGCTTGTGCCCCCCAGAGAGTGAAAGTCCAGGCGGCGTTCCAGCCATTGTTGAGAGCTGAGATAGAGGTGGGGGCTGTGGCTGCTGCTGCTGCAGATGCGTTTGTGTTTGCTGCTGAGAGAGTTTCATGTTCTGTTGTACTTGTAGCCGCAGCTGGGATTCGAGAGATGCGGCGTCAATGACCTTGGGCTTGGAAACCTCTTGCTTCGATTGTCTGTTCACATTCTGACCACTCAGAAGCATCTGTTCTAAATCTTGTGCATTCCAGACCTGAACCGTGGGGTTGGCCGACGAAGTATTTTGCTGAGGCGTTGTTGCTGTTGTTGTTGTTGTTGCTTTTTTCTGGGCTGTGGAAGAAGTCGCTGCTGCCAAGGACACCGCCGTCGTTGCTGCTGCTGCGGCCGATGGTGGTGGTGATTCGCCGGTGGGAACCACTTGAACCGACGAGGGGGCCGAGACGCCGGAATGCATGGGCATCTGTACAGAAGGGCCCACAACCACGCTAGGGGCGGCGGCGGCGGCGGCGGCGGTGGCGTTTGCACTAGGCGTCATCGCAACACCGGAACTTCGCTGTGCCTCCATGGTTCCCCAAACCGCATTTCCGCTTGCGGACATTATCCCTTGCAGCGACCACGGGTCCTTGGTGGGGGATCCCATTGCGAGTGAAGCCGGCTCGTTAAACCCCATCCCTCCCGCAAGAGGCGAGTTTGCCGCGCTCTTATTGCCGGCATCTGCCCCAGAGAAAAAGCGAGACTTGGTGACCTTTTTCGCCCCCTCTTCGCTCATTGCGATGCTTGTCATCCAGCGCTCCACTTCCTCGTCCTCGTTTTGCTTCGGCGCCTCTTTCGCCACGGCCGGCACAAACGGTTCCTTTGCTTCCTCCTTCACCCATTTGGCAGCGGCCACGGCATCGATTTTTTCCTTTTCCTTTGCCATCGTCTCCTGCAGCGCCTGTTTCTTAATAGCATTACGCTCAAGTTCATACTTATATCCCTCTTCAAAGGCCTCTTGGTCCTTGTTGCCCCGAGCAGCGCGTGACGGAGGGGCGAAGCGCTCGTTATTCACCGCGCGGCGGCCGCCGGCTCCATTCTTTGCGTCTGATTTCCGCCCACCGGCCTCGTTGCGATGCGACTCCGGCAGCAACCTCTCCGTGACCGGCGACTCCACCTCAATCACCTTGAACTTCTGCAGGGCCCCGGCATTGAGGCTGTATTCGTTCTGCTTGGGCGCCAGTGCCAGCAACTCCGCGCGCGTGTACCGAATCAGGACGCTCATTCCTGCTCCCGCTGCCGTTCCCGCCGCCGGCTGCAGTTAGCCTAAAACCAAACTAAAGCACGCAGTCGTAGTCGTCGCCGTGCCTCTCACACAAACGAACTTCAAAAATAGAAATAAAAATTAAAAAAGCAAAGACACAGGCACGCACAAGAAAAAAAAGCCCACAGACAATATCGTGCTCTCAGTCGTACTTCGTCGGTGACCTCCGCCGCTGAGTGAAATAGGTTGCCGCGTTCCCTCCTGCGATGCTCACCAGGCGCAAACCTCGACTCTCAACCCTCTCCGCTTCCCTCCGAATCAATCTAATCAGGAGCTAAAGAATCAAGGCACGCGCGCGAAAGTGAGAAAGAGGAAAGGGCGGATACTTTGCCTAACACCGCTACTTTACCTTCACGCTGCTGCTACTAACGTGTAGATAGTGATTTTGCTTTGGGCGCCCAGGAAGCAGCCGACCAGCCGCAACGAAGCAGGGGGAAGAAAAATGCGGCGACATAAAAAAAAAAGAAGAAGAGGAAAGAAGTGCCATATTTCACTGCTGTTCGCTCCCGTGCGGCCCAAAGGAAACACAGAACCAGAAATGACGCAAGGAGGAAAACAAACAAACAGAAAAAAAAACGCATCTGTGATAACTTCACCGCCCGACGACTGTTGTTCTCTTGCCTTCTGCTTCTAGACGTTTACTAAGGAGCACCACAAAGAGACTTCACTCGCGTCTTTAGATGCCGTCTTCCCCGCGTTTTCTTGCCTCTTTTTTTTTTTTGTCCCCGCCTCCCCCTTCGCTGCGGCGCTTGTTGCTCGGTTGTCGCTTAACCACTGAGGCGGAAAGGCCCGTTGTCATCCTTCTCACAACTCAATCGGACACTCAGCGGTTCCCAGCAGTCGGCCAAAGTCTGCGTTCAGCTCCTCCGGCCGCTGCGTCCCGCCCTCCCTCTCGAGGGTGTTGCCACCGTTCACAGCCGTGGGGCAGCCGCGGCTCTCGCCGTCGTCATTCTCCCCGTCGTCGAGAACGACACCGTGCCCATCGCTCGGCATCCGATGCGGCACCCAACGAAACGGCGCCGTGGTCCGGTCTTTCACCGCATCCTCCTTTTTTTGCATCGTTTCCGGCTCCGCCGTGCGCTTGCCCTTCAACCGCAAATGCAGCGGGCATGCGTCTCCCGTCTCCTGGAGGTAGCGCCAGAGCACGGTGTCCACCACAACGTCGCGTGGGCGGAGCTCCGCATCGCACAATGGGCAGTTCCAATAGCACCCCTTGTTGCAGCTAAGCAAAAATGAGAGGCAATCAAAACACTGAAGGTGTCGGCAGCGTGAGCCGCGAATAGGAATGCTAATGCGTGACTGCAAAATAGGACACTTACTCGTAATTGCAGGATCGTCTGCCTCAACCTCGTCCAAAAATGCATCCTCGTCCTCCGCCACCTTCTGGTAGAGGTCGAAAATTGCCGCGTCTCGTGTCTCCTCATGCGGACCACGCAACGGTTTCACGAGGGCGGTTACCACCTCCTCCGGAGGCACAGGCTGCACAATCAGCAATGCAACTTGGCTAAAATACTCTCTCGAAAAGACGTTAATCTGTAGCTTTTGGAAGGCAACATTGCGGTTGAGAAACTGGGTGATGTCTAGCAAAAGAAACGTCTTCGCCACCTCCATACGACGCTCAGGCCATGAACGTTTCCACGGGGTCATAACGCACTGGTCGTTCACATACACGACGATGTCTTTTGCCGTCGGCCATCGCACGGGGATCGCTGGGTAGCGGAACGGTGTCAGCTGCACGCGAAGCCGTCGAGCCACGACGGCCTCCACAAACTGTACAGGAACCTCAAACCGCAATGGAATACTGCCAAAACGCAGTTGAAATCGCTTCACCACACACAACACACGACTAAAGGGCGAAATTGAACTATTCATCAATACAGCCTCATCACCTGTCTCACACACCGAGGCAGATGGTCCTGCACACACGTCGCCCACTCCTGCCGGGATTTCCGGTGTGCCGGAAACCGCCCCGTTGCGCTGGAGTGGCGGGCAGCTCCGCAAAAGGTCCAAGCCGGTCGATGAGGCGTGTGAAACCGTTGGCGACGTCGCCGCCTCCACCGTCGTTCGTTTCTCTGCCCGAGATGACGTGTTACAGGGCAACGCAACACTTTCATCCAGCTCTGCTCCAGAAAGACCTTCAGCGCGGAGGTGCCTTCGCTCAGACTCTAAACATTTCAGGGCCGCCGCCACCGCGTGGGCGAGGTCTGGCTTACGCCCCTTCACGGCCAAGTTGGCCGCCATCCTAAGCTCGCCGTGGCTCTCCAAGATGACGCGGAGCTCCATAACTAACTTGTGCAGGTCCTTTGCAAAGAAGTGGTTGTGCGACTTTCCCTCAAGAACCACGCTTTGAAAATCACTCATCGTGCACGGATTCGGCATCACGCGCTCGTACAGCTGCTTCCACTCCGCGGCTGACAGACCGCCCCGTCGCTCCGCCGGGCTCATGCCGTCGAGGAAAGATGGCGCTTCCCGGCACACCCGCCTCCTTAGCAGCGGCGCTTCTGTGTCGTCAGGGCTCCGCGAGCGACGCTGCCGTGGCCTACTCATTTAGCATGCAGCCTCCGCAGAATCCGCGGTGGAAGGCTACGTACGTCCCACGCACGCCGACGGCGAGCGGACAATCGACGAAGGCGGCAGAACCAACAGCGACCCAAAAGCAAGAACACGCTACAAGAGAAACTATCCGGCGAACGAACTCCCCTCAGCGCAGCTCCACGGAAACGCAAACCTAAAATAGGAGGTCCGCCTCGTGTCAAACCGACGACTACTAGGGACTTGCAAAAGTAAACAGTCGCAGTCAAGAAGAAAAAGAAGCCGCAAAAAAAAAAACAGGACACAAGATATTTTGTCATCACGTCGCCCAACCAACTCCCACGAGGGCAACTGACGGGGAAGGCAGGCACCATCCCTGGTCGCCCGCACGCCCAACACCAACG